TGAACAACTTAATATTTGCTGGCAATTTCTCTCAGCAGTCTAACTTAATTTCTTTAAAATAACTTTTGCTCGTACCATTTATATTTGTTTACAATTATTACTAACATAGATATTCTAATTGTTATATGATTCATATTAACAAAATATATTATTCCGTTCAAAATGATAAAAAAAAGAAAAATCAACAAGCTTTTGTTTAAATTAATTTGAATAAACTGTACGTTTTCGCTTACTTATGTTAATGCAATTTGTACATTAGTTGATACATGAAATATTTAATGATGGGCATACAAATAAGCCTCAATGGGATCGTTATTATTATCACTGAATTGATAATAATCGTTATCATGGAAATAGAATAAACACAAAAGAAAATATTTTTGAATCTAAACTATAATTTGTAAGAATATGGTATAGTTTGTCTAACCTTTTTTTTTAAAAATTATTCACTGAAGGGATATTTTAAAATACTAACAATAATAGTTCATTTTGGGTGTACACTTAACAAACTATATTGTGGTGTAAAGTGTCATCTCGAATCGTACTAATATGAGGTGTGGTTTTTAGTTTTATTCATTGTAAAAATTATCTATAATAGAAAGCTTTTAATTTATTGGGAATTATTTTTGGAAAAAAATTAGGCTGATTTCTATTTAAACTTCCCAGATTTTTAGGTTTATATTTTATTTCGCTACGATAAAAATGCTTGATACAGTTTGGTACCAAACATTTAGCCGTATGAACAACGAAATATTGTTATGGAGTAATCAAATATAAAAAAATTAAACAGAAAACAGTATCTAAAAAAGAAAAAAACATCAGATGTCATTCCAGCGTGAATATAATAAAGATGAAAGTTCATTTTGTAAAGAGGTGTTTTATACTATTTATGCGAGTTATAATACATAAATGTAGTGAAATTGAACACTTGTTTCTATCATGAATTATAAATAATAATATCTCAAGCTAGTGAGTTACACTATATAATTGATCCACTTACAGGGCCGTAGTAACCAGTGGAAGTTATTTTCTATGCAATAACTGCCCGTTACACCACCTCTCCTGTGTTTTCAACAGTAACCACCATTGAAAAGTAATGCTACTTGCAAAAATTTGTTTGCTTTTTTTGTGCTCATGGTTGGTTGTCTCGAGACTTAACACGTTTAGAATTTTACACAACAGGTTCATTGTAATCATTTTGAGACATGATCAGCCTCTTTGACAGTATTGTTTTGCTTGAGTAGTTCAGTTTATATGGTTTATTAAAAAGTCTTCTAAGGATTATTAATATTATCATTTAGAACTGAATTACTATATTCAGCCAAATTACATATTTATCGATATTATTGATTATTCAAAGAGAATTCTTTACTACCAAAAGCACTTTCGAGCACCTGCCGAAGAAATAGGAATAAAAACTGCAATAGCTCAGCACTTAACTGATAGTTGGGATATTATTGATATTGGCCGATCCTTCAAAGTCATTAGCTGACTAAATAATCAAGCTTCTTTATTTTTCACTAGAAAATTGGCAATTACAAAACCCAAACTGGACTGATGTATTCTAAAGAGACAGTTATCAATCCATTATTGTTCTGGTATGTTCATATTTTCGAGTAAAATCTGTCATTAATATTGTTATTGTGAATATTACGATGGTTTTGCAGTCTTTACTAAGGTGATTGTTGTTTTATCTTACCATTCATCTGTGTTTTGCATTTGCTTATATTCTCAACGCTCATGTATGTTCTTAAAACCTTCCATCAATATTACGTAGACCATCTAATCAATTTCGGACACATACATAGTTATTACTAATGTTGGTTATTACTTCATTTCTTTCCCTTGCCAATGCCCTCAACTTTAGATTATGTTATACCTCAGTGCTATATTTTAATAAGAATACGGTTGTAAGGAGCTGGAGAGAAATAGCGAAATAAAATGAATTCGTGTCAATCTGCTCCAATTGTTATTTTGGCTTTATTCTAACAAAAAATATCTCAGACCATCTAACAAAAACCACTTCCAAGTTAGTTGGTTGCACATAATTTTTGTCATTTTTTCGAAAATCGATTTGCCAGATGAACATCAGTCGTCTTAGAATCTGTATCATTTGCATCTAAACTTAAAATATATATTCAGTTAGCTGAGATGACTATTTGAAAGCAATTTTCTCTATAATTCAACATAAACCATAACAGTATTACGAATCACGAAACATTATACAGCTGTTGTAATCTAATTTGAGAATAGTTGTTAATGTACAAAAGAAACTTCATATGCAAAAAATCTTCGATTATTACGACTTTTGAATGAACAAAACAGGATCCAGTTACAGATTCAATATCTAACGTTTAACATTTCCAATTTCAATCAGCCTACAGAATTTATTTACATATTGTCCATGTAATGTTTTTGGTAAAAACTTTCGGTGATTAAGCATTGATAAAACATTTAAGTTGAAAATTTCAGGTGTTTTATTTCCAATCATAAAAAAATTATAAATGCTTACATATATGCATGAACCATTTATCTGAATTATTTTAGCTCAAAGTGACTACTTCATCATGTAGTAATGAAGTCGGACATTCTCTTCAAGGCTTATGGAGGTAATCAATAGGACAATGATCTTCAAAAAATCACAGATTGACGATATACTTAAAGTTTTGCTGAGCGTTATTAAGAATAAAATAGGTAGGATAAATCTTTTTCAAGAGGTCTTGCAATATAATTGAAATTTCAACAATGCATTTGTTAGGATAATGGTCTAAAATTATTCAACCATACTTACTTACTTACTTACTTACGCCTGTTACTCCCAATGGAGCATAGGCCGCTGACCAGCATTCTACAAACCACTCTATCCTGGGCCTCCTTTTCTAGTTCCATCCTATTCTTGTTCATTTTTCTCACATCTATCTCTATTTCCCGGCGTAATGTGTTGTTTGGTCTTCCGCTCCCCCTTTGACCATAAGGATTCCATGTGAGGGCTTGTCTTGTAACGCAGTTCGGTGCTTTCCTCAGTGCGTGTCCTATCCACTTCCAGTGCTTCTTCCTGATTTCTTCCTCCACTGGGATCTGATTTGTTCTCTCCCACAGTAGGTTGTTGCTAATAGTGTCCGGCCAACGGATCTGAAGTATTTTGCGTAGACAACTGTTAATAAACACTTGCATCTTCTGGATGATGGATTTCGTAGTTCTCCAAGTTTCCACCCCATACAGTAGAACTGTCTTGACATTTGTATTGAAAATTATGACTTTGGTCTTGGTTGCCGATTGATTTGAATTCCAGATGTTCTTCAGTTTTAAATATGCTGCTCTCGCTTTACCGATCCGTGCCCTCATATCTGCATCAGATCCACCGTGTTCATCGATGATGCTGCCTAAATATGTAAAGGTTTGTACATCTTCCAAATCTTCTCCGTCAATTGTGATTGGATTGGTGCATGCTGTGTTGTATCGAAGAATCTTGCTTTTCCCTTTGTGTATATTGAGACCTATTGGTGCTGAGGCTGCTGCTACACTGGTCGTTTTCTCCCGCATTTGTTGTTGCGTATGTGATAGAAGAGCCAGATCATCTGCGAAGTCTAGATCATCCAATTGCATCCTAGCTGTCCACTGTATCCCGTGCTACCCTTCAGATGTTGACGTCTTCATGATCCAGTCGATCACCAGGAGAAAGAGAAAGGGTGAGAGTAAGCAACCTTGCCTGACACCGGTCTTTACTTCGAACGACTTTGTCAACTGTCCCCACGCACGATTTTGCAGTTTAATCCATCATAGGAATTCCGTATGATATTGACTATCTTCTGAGGCACGCCGTAGTGTCGAAGAAGCTTCCATAGTGTTGTTCTGTCTACGCTATCAAATGCTTTTTCGTAGTCAATGAAGTTGATATAGAGTGATGAATTCCATTCAATTGATTGTTCCACAATGATCCGTAGAGTTGTGATTTGGTCTGTGCACGATCTATCCTTACGGAATCCTGCCTGTTGGTCTCGAAGTTGTGCGTCTACACAGTCCTTCATCCTGTTTAGCAATGACCTGTTGAAGACTTTTCCTGGTATTGAGAGAAGAGTGATTCCCCTGTAGTTGTTACAGTTGCTGAGATCGCCTTTCTTTGGAATTTTGACCAGAAGTCCTTCTTTCCAGTCTTTTGGTACCTGTTCCTCATCCCAGATCTTTCTGAAGAGAGTTTCGAGTATCCTTGCAGTTGCCACCACGTCTGCTGTCAGTGCCTCTGCAGGAATGCTGTCTAGTCTTGCTGCATTGCCACGCTTGATTTGTCTGATAGCCATGCTGATCTCTTCAAATGTTGGTGGGCCAGCATCGATTGGGAGGTCTGTGAGTGCTGTTTCGATGTTGGGTGTGTTCAGTGTGTCTGGTCGATTCAAGAGTTCTTTGAAGTGTTCTACCCACCTGTTTCGTTGTTCTTCAATGTTGGTGATTATCTTGCCTTCCTTGCTTTTCACTGGTCGTTCTGGTTTACCATGATTTCTAGAGAGTTTTTTTTATTGTGTCATACACACTAACTACAGTCCATAACAATGGACGCTAAAGATGAATTCGGAACTCGCTTAATGCTATTACCATCCACTCAGGGAAAACCTTTACTTTATTGAATGTAACAGACAAGGCTTTCACTAATATTCAGCTCACTAAAGTGGTTACTGATTAATAAACCTCAGGTGATAAAAAAATAAGTATCTAAATTGAAAAGACACTAAATATTTAATTGTTTCTTTTAAAAAACGAGAATGTTAGTGTTTAGAGTAAATTCCAACAATACCACAATCCAAAATGTTGGTGATATGTGATTTGTGAATTTTCAATCTGACTTTGTTTGATAGTCTTACGATTTTACTCTGTCATATCAGATATATTAACTTTATATGTTATGTTAAAATAAATGAATATTTTAATTATTCTATTTTCTAGAAAACCTGATTTCCTACTGTATCATTATTTTTCAATAAAGAACATTGAATATTTAAATGGATCATATATTAGATTTACCAACTGATTAATTGATTTGATAAAAGGCTAGAACTGTTCTTTCAATGTATGAAAAAAATGTCAGAAAGAATAGTAAATTTATCTGAAGTACAAGCATTCATTGATTTTGATCATTTTTTTTCTCCAACTGTTCCTATGTTGAATGTTGTTAACGACAACATTTACCACAAATAAATAACAATAATTTATTGTATTAATTATATGAAGATAATCGTACTTTTATACACACATTAGCACGAAATAAATTATATTAAATCATGAATAGTTCATATCATATTTAAATAACAAATCATTTTTTACAACTAGAGAATTCTATAATATTTGAACACTAAACTATTTTACAAGTAAATGTAAAAAATAAACTTTAAACAAAACAATCTTTTCATTCTATTATAACAATATCATCATAATCATAAATGACAAGGCTTAATAAATGAAATCATAAAATCTTTGAAAATACACAAAATATCCATTATCGTTACCTATGTAAAATAAAAATTTCAATACATAAACTAACTTATCAACATTTTTTTAGTATGCAGAAAAATACATTTCAAATAGACATAATGTAATTTTTCTTATTCCATACATTTTACACAGCTAACAGTTGCTACATTAATATCATGTATAGATAATATACTAGTATTAGACTATTTGCATATAATATATTTTAAATGAACGAAAGTCAATAACCATATACATTTATCCATTTATTGATTTGTCTTTTTTAAAAATATTGAATAATCATTTGATTAAATAACTGAAATCAATACGTAAGGAAAAACTAATACAACAATATTACCTTAATTATCTTCATATAATTGGTTATTAATGTTTTATTCGTATTACATGTAGTCATAATATTTACCAACAATGAATGTATCAACTAATAGTATTATGGTGTGTATGTTACTTTATCTTTCGATTCAAATACTATATAACATCAATTCCAAGTGGAATGTTTGAAAGTAGAAGGTTAAGAAGACCAAGTTGAAGAAAAAAACAGAAATGGTAGTGAAAAGCAATTATGAATTGAAAAATAAAATAATACAGAATGTTAAGAACAATTAATAGATAATTTACAAATAAAGTAATTAATTTTGAGATGGTGGAGAAGATTTGTAGCTTAGGTGGATGATTTTTATGAAGTTTTCGTTCTTTGAGCCGAATGATTTGGTTGTAAATCTTTCGTCTTTCTTCTAAACGACATTATCAGCACAGATTTCAGATAGATAACTCCACAACCAAATCATCCAGCTAAGAGAACAAAACTCACCTATATTGTTGTATATTACAATACATAAATTAAAGATATAGTAAACATTTAAATAAATTTTGATGTATTAAAACATGTATTATAACAATTTATTAAATATTTTAATTGTAAACGAAATTTTAAATTAAAAAAGAAATAAATTAATGGATTAGCAGCAGAATTAATAAAATATAAAAAATGAAAAAATTTTCTTAAATGATATTTAATTTTAATTTTTAATATTTCATTTGAATTATGAATAAATAAATTATTATTTGTTATATTATATAATTGATTATTATTATAATAATGATTATTTAAATTTATTTCAGTAATAATTGAATTATTATATAATAATAAATTTGTTTTATTTATTATATTATAATTATATTTAAAATGTAATTGATTTGTTGTTTCCATTGATAATTCCCAATTTATAGGCCATATAAATCTATTAGCAATTAATAAACTTGGTAAATATGATATAATAAAACTAACTGTAATTAATATAAATGTAATTGCACTTCTTATATGACGATGATTTGTTAATTTTATACGATTAGTTTTTTTATATAAATTAAATAAATTTTTTTTTATTGATTTATATTTTAATTGATTATTAGTTTGAATTGTTATAATTTGTTTAGATTGATTAATTTCATTTTGTTTTTTTATTGATTTTAAGTGATTATGATTTATAGACTTTGAATTAATTTGTATTATTGAATCACTATAACTAAGAATAAATCTATTTTGATTTTGTTTATTATTTAAATTTGTTTGATTTATTTGTAAACTCAAAAATCTTGGTCTGTTATTATGATGAAAACAATTAAAATAAGATTGTTTGATTGGTTTATTAATCAGAACATCATGTTTTGGAGAAGTTAATGGTGTATTTATTGGTTCAATTACTTTTATTTTAGGTCCAAATTTTGTTCTCCAACGATATTGATGTATTATAATGAATAAAAATAAGTAACCGTAAAAGATACAGATGCAAGTGAAAATAAGACTGAATAAAATTAATATAGACAGTTGATAAATTTCATAATCACTTTGTGATATAAAACGTTCATCAGATTTACAATAACCATAATTTGTAAATGACGTTATTAAATCGATAAACTGTGATGTAAAATAAGCCAATGATGAATTTCCTGACGACATTAATGAGTTGTTGGAAATACTATCATTCAATTCTGTTTGGTTAGATTTAAATAAACTATTTGATTCATGAAACATGAAAATAGCTTCTGAATCATTGGATACAAGTTTATCAACTGTACTAATTTTAAAATAAGTGTGTACACCTTGATGTAATCCCATTGGTATTGCCCATAATAATCCCAAGATATATGTTCCAACGATTAGTCTCTTCATACACTTTTTTGTCATTACAACACATGGTATAAAACAAACTAACAACCAACGGTCCAATGCAATTATAACCAAAAACAATGCAGAAACAGTTAAAGTAAATGATTTTAAAATCACATGTAGTCTACAAATAAAATCAAATGTTCTAGTTTCCCATACAATTAGAAAGATTGTTGTCGGTATATCAATAACACAGATAATCAAATCATTAATTGCAAGAAGGACAATGAGAAGATCAGAGTTGAGATCTGTGTGCATGACAGTACGTTTTGTAAACATAAATTTTTTCGTAGTTTTCCCGTTTTTAGTACAATCATTTCCTGTTTCTATCGATTGGGGAATATTTAATACTGAGGTATTATTGACACTTGGTAAACTACCGCCTTGATTTCTTAATTCATTATTACTGACAGAATTAGACGATTGGCTAATTGGCACAAGACTGGAAGCTCTTGACAAACATACATCAAGATAAGGGTTCAATCGCTGTTGACAAATATCCGGTCGGTACTGGGACCGTTTTTGGTTTTGTATAGGGTTTTCTGGTTGAGTTTTACATCTTGAACAATTACAAAGAATGAGTAGACAGTTTTCTAATAACTTGAAGAATCTTCTAAATATGTGACGACCAATTGTATGTACTACTAACCAATTACCAATTAATCCAAATATACTTATGCATACAAGAAAACAACTGATAATAATTAATGTCGGAATATAGTTTTTTAAAACAAGTTTTTGAACATTGTCTTCTTCTTCAGCAATGAGACTATTTAAATTTGATGATTGCATCATAATAATTTTAAAGAAAATCTTTTTGTTTCAACGTTATCATTTATAAGAAAAAGTTGAACTTGTTTCATAAAATTTAGTAAATTAAATGATAATATATAATATATTAGGAATGTAAGGGGAAATTTCAACCAATGAAAAATATTTGAAATTTGATTCGTCAAACATAAATTATAATTTTACTATTGGCAGTAATATTATTTAAAATACTATGGTATTTCATAAAACTATCTATTAAACTATAATTCTTTTAATGATCTAAAAAACTTAAAAATTCAGTTGCGTAATTTATTAATACCAATAATAATAGTAATAACAATAATAATCATTTATTATTATTAAAATTATAAATAGTTTACAGTTACTATTCAATGCAGATTTGAAGAAATAATTCATTTTTGTGAAGAATATGATGTATAATAATGAATTTTCTTTTAATCAAAAGATTCAATCCATTTTTCCTACAAGTTATTTTGTATTCCACTATTATCAATAACAATAGATTAGTTTCATTTTGTAGTGTTTGTTTGAATATTCACATAGATAATTAACACTGTAATTAGCATGTAGTGGCTGTGCTTCGTTGACCAATCACCCTCGTAACCGTAATCGTATAAACCCCAACGGTAGTTGAAATCAGAAGGCAAAGAGAAGCAGCTACTACAGTTTTATTAGCAGGCAACTCAAACCACAGAGCAGAGAGGCGAATGAGTCAGCAAACCGTGATTGTGTGAGAATGTGTGGAAAATGTGTGGAAAAATGTGTAGTGTTAAATATACATGTAATTATATAGAAAAGTGAATGGACTATCGAATCGATTAAGCGAATAATAATAAGGTTAGTGGGATGAATATATGCGTGGGCAGTCAACAGTGTTCAAGCATGCTTATTCATACAAGCATAACAATAATAAAGATAGAATAAGTTGTTAAAGTACAGATAACCTTGTCCGTTTACTAGGTTAACAAAAGGGCTTAAACGAATTAGATGAGGGCAAACTCAATTGAACGTGAGTTGCTATAATAGCTCCCCCCTGCAAACAAAGATATATAGAAAAAAATGTCTGTGTTTGCACAAAAAATAGTAAACTGAATCGAGTAGTTACAATTGTTTGGAGAAAGTGCTTATACAAAATTAAGATGAAGCTAAATGTGTTGTGTATGTGGTTTGTGCTTGTCCGTGAGGCTATATAAAATAATAGTAGGGAATAGAAGGAAAGTGTTATCGTTTTTTTTTTTTTTTTTACATATAAGTGTAGGGTACATAATATATGCCTAGTTTTATAGTGTATAATATAGGCTTAATAATGTATATGTATACAATGAAGTGGAAGAGTTATAATTAATATTCAAAATAATAGTAAATTATCAATAAAAAATTGTAGCGATGTAGCGTTGAGGCCATCTTACTCTGCGGCCAGATCTCGTTGTTACTGGAGTCTCGCCTTTTTGCTGCGTTAGCGTCGTTGATTCTTGAGACTCGTGTTTCGTTGGTGTGACAATCTTCGAGGATTTTGTACTTGTTGACTGAATATCGCTATCGATGAAAGCTGGTTTCACTCTATCGATACTGATCACATCTGTTTTCCCAGCTTTTTCTATGGTAATCGTTTTATCTGTCCTCGCTGTCACTTTAAACGGACCGTCGTAATTCGGTTGCAGGGGTGGTTGTACTTTATCTCTTCTAATGAATACATGAGTGCTTTTGTGTAGCTCCTGAGGTATGAATACCTGTCGTTGTTGAGGTCTGGGTGGTGTTGTTTTTAAATCGCTCATGTGCTTTTTCAAGCGTTGTACGTAGTTGGCTACATCAGTCGGAACCCATTTATTCGAAGTGAAAAATTCTCCGGGTAACCGTAGAGTAGTTCCGTATACCAACTCGGCTGGACAACATCCTATATCTTGTTTAATTGTTGCTCTTAAACCTAACATTACTACAGGAAGCTTATTGGCCCAATCATTGTTTACAATGACGGATGTAAGAGATGCTTTTAGTTGCCTATGTAGACGTTCGACCATTCCGTTTGCCATTGGATGGTAAGATGTCGTTCGAATTCGTTTAATACCGAGGAGTTCCGTAAGCTGTTGAAAGAGTCGACTTTCGAATTGAGCTCCTCTATCAGTTGTGATGATCGCTGGTACGCCGTAGTAAGAAATCCAATTTTCAACTAATGCTTTGGCTACCGATTCGGCTGAGGTATCTTTTATCGGTACTGCCACCGGCCATCGAGTAAATCTGTCAATGCATGTAAATATATAATTGTATCCATTCGAAACCGGCAGTGGTCCTACAATGTCGATGTGTATATGCTCAAATCTAGTATCTGGGTGTGAAAATGGACCCACTGCGGAGCTAGTGTGACGATGTACTTTGACTTTTTGACACTTTATGCATGCCTGTGTCCAATTACGTACATCGTGGTTCATGTTTGTCCATACAAATCGTTCACTGATTAGTTTTATCGTGGCTTTTATTCCGGGATGAGACATATTGTGCATACTTTCAAAAATCTTCTGTCGCAATGATGTCGGGATAAATGGTCGCGGTCGGCCTGTCGATGTATCACATGTTACTTTCGTGTTACCGAACCGCACCTCTTCGAGCACTAGTGATGTCGTACCCTCGGATCTGAGCTTCTTTAATTCGGTGTCTCTCTCTTGCAACTTTGCTAGACCATTGTAATCGATTCCACTTGCCATAAGTGCGTTTATCATTGCTCTGGACAGAGCGTCAGCTACGTCGTTTTCCTGTCCTTTAATATATCGTATGTCGGAAGTGAACTGTGAAATGAATTCTAACTGCCGGATCTCTCTCGGGGCATAATTGTCTTGCTTTGCGCTTAATGCTTTAGTAAGTGGTTTGTGGTCTGTGTAGACGGTAAAACTTATACCTTCTACCATATGACGAAAATGTTTTATGGCTAAGTAAATTGCTAGTAGTTCTCTTCCAAAAGTACTGTACCTTGTTTGTGTAGGGTTCAGTCTTTTCGAAAAAAATGAGAGGGGTTCCCAAGTACCGTTTACTAACTGCTGTAAAACGGCTCCTACCGCCACATCCGATGCGTCAGTCATGATAGCTAGTGGTGTTTCACTCTTTCGTCTAGTTAATGTCGTTTCTTTATTTAATGCTTTTTTGGCTTGCTCGAATGCCTGTATCGCCTCTGGTGATAATTGGAATTTCCGGGCGTGTCCTCTTAACGAGTCAGTTAATGGTTGCAATATCGCCGCACAATTCGGGATAAATCGTCTGTAGTAATTTACTAACCCGAGGAATCGTCGTAACTTCTTCCATGAGTCGGGTAGCGGATAATTTTTGATAGCGTCGACTTCTGTTGAGACAGGTGTAATGCCTTGAGAAGTTACAACGTGACCTAGGAATTGCAAGGATTCCTTTCCAAATTCAGACTTCTCAATGTTTATGGAAACGCCATGTTCTCGCAGTCGCATGAATAATTGTCGTAACTGTTGTATGTGTTCATCCTTGGTGGCGCTGGCTACTAGTAAGTCATCGATATATGCGTAAACTCCAGGTAAACCTCTGATGACCTGGTCGATAAACCGTTGAAAGGTTTGCGCTGCGTTCGTCAGTCCGAAAGGCATGCGCAGAAATTCGTACAGTCCAAACGGGGTCGTTACCGCTGTCTTTGGTATGTCGTGTGGGGCAACAGGAATGTGATAGTAGGCTCTAACTAAGTCGATCTTTGAGAAGATAGTAGCGCCTTCAATACTGTAAGTAAAATCGTGGATATGTGGTATGGGATATCTATCGGCTACTGTTTGTTTGTTAAGTGCTCGGTAGTCTCCACATGGCCTAACTTCGCCATTCTTTTTCGGGGCCATATGTAATGGGGATGCCCACGGGCTTTTCGAAGGCCTTATAATGCCCAGCTTCATCAACTTGTCGAATTCCTGTTTTGCTATTGCTAGTCTTTTTGGGTCTAATCTTCTTGGCCTTGCATTAATTGGTGGTCCATTCGTTATGATATGGTGCTGAATGGAGTGTTTGAGATCTGCCTTATTGTACGTTACTTTCACGAGTTCAGGAAATTCCTTTAACAACAATTTATATGGATCACCGTGGCTTTTATCTATCACTAGATTCATGGAAACGGCTTCTGTAAGTGTTCCTCTTATCGAAGTGGTGTGACTACCATTTATAAGTCTGTGACGTCGCGAGTCTACTAGCAGATCAAAGTTACATAGGAAATCGATGCCAATTATGGGCACTGATACATCTGCTATGACAAAGTCCCAGCGGTATGAAGCGCCTCGTCCAAAATCTAGGGACAACTTTCGTTTGCCATATGTCTTAATGTCTGATTTGTTTGCTGCTCTTAACACTAGTGACGCATTAACATTTCTTCTCTCCTCGCTTACGGGAGGTACTACGCTGATTTCCGCTCCAGTATCAACTAAGAATTGAGCACCTGTCGTTCGATCCTGTATATAAAACAGGCGGCTATTTGCAGGCATTATGTTCTTTGATGTCGTTGCCAGTGACAATCGTGGGTATCGTTTACCTGTTATGTTAAATCTACAAGGTTGTAAACATTTCCTAGCTCTATAGCCATACATTTGATGATACCAGCATATCAAAGGAGCTGTGCGTCTTCTAGAAGGTGATCGGTTTCTGTCGCGCAGGCGATCTCGTGATGATTTTCGTGGTCTTATATTGCTCTGTGTTAATTCTGTGAGCTTGCGGCACAAAATATTTACCTCTTTCTGTAAAGTACTAAGTCTATCATCTACCGTCACGTTGTGTAATGGAGGGCTTGTTTGTTTGGTTCTTTCGTATATTCTATCGGCTATTTTTGCTATGTTGTCTATATCGGCGTCCGTATCTCCGACGGCTAGGATCTGCTGTACACTTGACGGAAGTCGCCTAAGCCACAGTTGATAAAACAGGTTATTGTCTATTTGCCTATCGCCCAACAGGCTTTTCATATACGTTTTTAGCTGTGATGGGGTTCTATCTCCCATTTGTACTTGGTTAAGAAGTTGTTCGACAGTTTGCTGATCACTTAGAGAGAGAGTTTTAATTACTGCTTGCTTTAGTACATCGTAC